TCTAGAGTTTGTTTTTTGTGTCGCAGATCGCCTTAGTCTGTGTGTTGATGTGTGGAACTGGAAACAAGTGCAAAACATTTTGAATACTCACGAGAGTGAAGATGTTGGTCTTTGATTTGTACGTCGTGTGAACATTGGAATCTACCTACCAACTTACCCACATGGCGCGCCGCGGCGTTGTAACCCATAACAACATCGACGATGTACGTAGAAGTTCTACTATTGCTTACTAGATGGGACAGGCGTTTGGATGATCGACCAACGGTGATCGATTATGGTTATAATCTGTGAGCGTTAATAGTGATCCGTGGCAATCGATATGTTTGTGTTAACTACGCTGTAGGTCACCTGTGATGTACATCAGTATGTTGAAAATTGTCATTATGTCCTGTATGTTACTAAAATATGTTGATTACGGTATTTGACACAACTTTCTGAAAATTGTATATGAAGGTACGGCGTTTAATTATTTTTTTAATTTTATATCATAAATGTTCGTCTGTTTTACTCAGAGTATAAATAAGGGCATGACGCTAGCAGTTCACCCCCATCTATTGTTGAGGTTTAAGAGTATGTGGAGTTGTACCTCCACTCCCCACGTCTCTGCATGGTGGTGTGTATAGTTGAGCACCATGGTCTTATTTCCCATTTTAAAGTTGCATGTTAACGTGCTGCTATGCTTTAAGGACACTGACGAAAGTTATGAAACTATAGGAATGTTGTAATCATTTAAGCAGTTTGAAATATTTGTTGGTGTGCAGTGAAACAAAAAGTCAGTTACATTTCATCAAGAAAGTTTTCATAAAATCTGTCGTCATACAGAATTCAGACATTACTATAATTCTAACATTTATGCAATACTGGGATAAGCTTACAGTATAACAAACACACATTTTGAAGTTCACCAGAACTTGTAGAAATTTACTATAGTTTCAGTAAGAAATTGAAGTTTAAGCAGAAGGTTGCTACTCTTTGATTATATGTAGTTGCACATTGTTTGTTATTGGCTGGAAATGTACCAGGAGTGTTACTCTGATGTTCTTTGACTTTAGTGGACAGTTTTTCTTTTGATGGATATAGGTGAACTGGTTGCAAAAATTGTGCCAATGCCAGTCACCATTGGATTTTGTGATATTTTTCCAGAAATGTAAATTACCTTCAATACATAGGGCTTTTTAATAGTGGAAATGGTAGTCTTATTGTCACAAAAAGTTCACTGTTAGTTGTTCCACCAGTATGTATATTGTGAGGCACAGTTTATAATATTGGCATGTCCTGTTCAGCATTTAGTTTTTGTAAGCATCAGAATCCCATAAGTGTTAGATCTGTAAAGGACATTGCTTCAAGATGCAGACAGTATCTTGTATTTCCAGATTTGCAAGATGGCATCAAAAGAAGAACCAGAAACATTGCAGGAAGGTGGAGTAAGTGCTGTTCCAGCAGTAATAGCAATGAAAACCTCAACAGATCTTGATAGTGCAGTAGTGATGGAAGAAATTATTGAAGAAGATTTGGAAATGATTGATTCAAGTGAATTTATAGAAGCTCACACTGTAAATATGGATGATGGAGAAATGAGATATGATGGGAAACTGATAATAGATGATGATTTTGATTATGATTCAGACATTGAAGGACAGCAAAGTTTTTCAGAGTATGTTGAAGATGAAATTGTGACTAAGGAACAAGAAAAAGAACTTACTAATAGGTTTTTGAATGGAGAATTGACATTCAGTGAGTATGCAGCATTAATGGAAGGAAATGAAGTTGATGATAGTGCTGATGCCCAGTGTACAGCATCAAATGCCACAGCATCAGCAGCAGATGCATTTGAGAAGGAGTTGAAAGAATCTAGCAGACTAAAGGGAAGAAGAAGGAGTGCCGTAGATGGTGTGAGAAAAAGACGTAGAATTCTTCCACCTGCCCTTCAGGGATTGATGGGTGAAGCAAACTTGCGTTATGCACGTGGTGAACGGGAGACAGCAGTCAAAATGTGTTTGGAAATCATTCGCCAAGTTCCTACAGCTCCAGAACCATTTCAGACATTGGCTGTACTGTATGAAGAATTGGGTGCTCCAGACAAATCATTACAGTTTGCTCTGATTGCAGCACATTTAAGTCCTCATGATGTAGAGCAATGGATACGCCTAGCAGTAATGTCTGAAGAACAGGGGGACATAAAGCAAGCTGTCACTTGTTATTCCAAGGCTATTACTGCTGATGCCAGCAATGTAGAAGTCCATATGAAAAGAGGAATGTTACTGGAACAGATTGGAGAAAGAAAGACTGCCCTTAGAGGATACCAAAGGCTCCTTTCTCTGCTTACACCAGAACAAGGATCAGTTATTGTCCAGGTAGCCAAGATGCTGGCTTGCAAATTTCATGAAGATGATGAATTAGCAAAAGCAAAGGAAACGATGGAAGTTGTATTTAAGAAAGTTCCTCACCTTGTTACTTCAGAAGATGTAAACCTTATGCTTGAACTGTTACTTAGTCAGAAGGAGTACACTCGTTGTCTTGAGATATTGGTCCAGCATTGTGGTATTGAAGTGGAAGCAGAGTCACTGGCTGAAAATGCTGACCCGCCACTAGTAGTATTACATTGCACTATACCAGAATCACTTGCAATTGATTTACATGTAAAACTTACAGTTGTTTTAATTCACTTGAAAGCTTTTCATATGTTGGATATGCTGTTGGAACCTCTGGAAGAAAAAAATCCAGAAGAAGCTGGTGATCTTTACTTGGATGTAGCTGAAGCCTTGATGAATGAAGGGAGATACAGAGATGCCCTCAGACTTTTAAATCCATTGGTGGAAAGTGATAACTATAGCTTAGCTGCAGTTTGGTTGAGGCAAGCAGAGTGTTTGAAAGTTTGTGGACTGCTGGACAAGGCAGCAGCATCCTATGAGATGGTAGTACAACAGGCACCCCAGCACTTACAGGCTCGAATTATACTCTCAGGGTTGTTGAATGAACTAGGACGTGGGGAAGAAGCATTAGTTGTTCTTACACAGGATGCAGAATCCGAAGTCCTAGAACCTGGGCTTCTGTATGAAAAATGCATGTTGCTGAAAGGAGTAGAAGAACGGACTGAAGAATTTTTGGCTGTTGGACAGCTTCTGTTGTCAAGACATTTTGTCCGCATTCGTAATAGGGATGAACTCTATGCTCTTACAAGACTGAGACGTATAGAGAAGAAGACGGAGGCACTGAAAGAAATCCGCACCTCTCGAGGAGAACCACAGTTTGATACTGATGCTCCAGATTTTAGAGTAGGCAAAAACTCGCCGTCAGTTGAGGAAGAATGGGCTCTGTTTCGAGAAATGTGTCAAACTTGCTACAGAATTGGAAGATTTGGTTTGTTGCAAAGATTGGCATTCTCTGCAATGGGTTCTAAACTTTTCTATTCTAATCCTGACAGAGTACTTGAGATGGAATTTCTATGCCTTCTTGCTTGTTTCTACAATGCTGATGCATACTATGGTTACAACCTTGCCAGGGATCAACTTCTGAAAGAGATGAAACTTCCACGTATATGGAACTTATTCAACCTTGTTCTTCAGCGAGCTGATGATGTTCGCCATAATCGTTTCCTTATGCGTCTTTTGGCTCGACATCCCAACCATTCTGCCTTGACCCTTCTACATGCTAACAACTGTCTAGTGGCTGGGACTTACAAGTATGCCCTAAGTGAATATGCTGCAACATTCCGTTCAAATCCTACCTCACTATCAGCCTTCCTGCTTGGTGTTACACTCTTCCAGATGGCATGCCAGAAGTTCTCAGCTAAGAAACATTCACTAGTAACACAGGGTCTTGCTTTCATGTGGAAGTATAAACAATACCGAGGAGAAGACGGATATCAGGAAGTCCATTACAATATTGGACGGGCCTTTCACCAATTGGGACTTCTTCCTGCTGCAATATACCATTACAAAGAAGCACTAAACTTCACTTCACCTCTCATTGAGACTTACCCACATTTACTGGACCTGAAACAAGAAGCAGCATTCAATTTGTATCTTATTTACATGAGTACTGGTGCATGTGACATTGCACGCAGCTATATTGACAAATATATTGTTATTTAAAATTCTGTTGTCATGACTGTGTTGAGATTCTGTTATTATATGGTTATCCCAGTTTTCCAATGTTCAATTAGTTCTTAGCATTTAAATCCAAAATATGGAATATATGCTGTTTGTGCTGATAGTTAAGTTTCATTACTCTGAGATACCTGTGAGCTCTTCACTTATATTCATCTTTCTTTTTTGTTTTGTTTTTCCTGTCACAGTAAATCATTCTTAGCTTGAATCGTGATGTGACATTCTCAGCAAATGTGGTTGGCATAATGACAGCAGAGTGGACTGGAATGCATTTAATCTGCATATCATTACATCTGTTAGTGAAAGAAAGTATATGATGTGAAATTTTCAAGGTGGTTCTGATACCATATTTTAGAAAGATTTCTCAGATCACTAATTCTTAAATGGTACAGGGGCAGTTTTACAGTTTCTTACTGGGATGGTTATATAACTGTAGAAATTTAAAACTGTTTTGGCTATATGAAAAGTTTTCACAGGACAAGAAAGTTGGTGTTTGTTACCTGCATCATATTTTTTAGACTGGTTATTTCAGGACACTTTGTTATAAGCAGTGGATTGAAAAGTGTATTCAGTAAGCAGGGTTTTTTTCCATCATAGGTCATAAAATTAAAGTTGCCTACTCTTGTTTTTTCTCATCCTCTTAATTGCCAAAATAAAGCATGTTTCAAGCAGGGTTGCATTTATAATTGTTCAATTGCAGTGGATTGACATAGAAGTTGTCAACATTAAGACTAGAAAGAAAGTGCTATTAAAATGTGCAGTAGCAGATGGTGCTGCCTTTGGCAACCTCATTTGTATATCCAGTAGCCCATATTTATATGAATGTTCCATCTCTAACATTATCTGCTTTTAGTGCTGGAATACTGTTAGTCATATTTATAGTGTATTTAATAATGCTTTTTCATTAGCTCGGGCTTTATAGAGTTGAATGAGAGGATGATAGTGCATGGCCTAATTTAAGGCACTATCCTGGAATTTTCCTTGACCCCCCCCCCCCCCAAGTCAGGATAGCCTGTCTGCGGGACTTCCCACATACGAAGCTGGAGCATTAACTGCGATGATACTAATGACTCTTGTCTCATTTATTTCTAGTTTGTGTATATTGTAGATAAGTTAACTTGAAGTAATAACCATAACACATGGAGTATACTGTTGCTTCTAAAATACATTTCAAGAGTCTGTGTCGTCTCTGTGAGATAATTAGTGATTGTGCACGTAATAAGAAGGAAGAATACCTCAAAAAATACATCAACTACTTTCATGAATATTCCAAGAATTTAAAACAGGAATCACCATTATTGGTAAGTATTTTATTTGTAGCATTCTGTACTAACTAACTAACTAGACAGTTTACGGAACCTGAAGGTTCATCACCAAACTAACTAAAGCCCTCCACTGGACCCTGTCTTGATTCTGTACTTGGTAAGTTTTCTACAAAGGATTTTAAGAGATGATATATATCAAATATTATGCTGGAATGCTCCTTGACTTTTATGATTTTGGTGACTGACTGTTAGGAAATCATAATTTCTGTCTTTGAACTGGAGATTTATTAGAATAAGTGAATGTCTTAACTATCATAATGAGTGGTCATAAATATGTGCCAAAGTTCTTCAGGTATCATGGATAATTTTCTTTAATTCTTCATAAATTTATGCTCTCAATATCACCAGCATCTAAAACAATGCACCTGATACCTAATGTGTAGCAATCATCCCTTCCCATAATTTTACGAAGATTTAACAGTTGTGGGAGCATTGTTTATTGCTGTTCTTTGTATGCCTTATACTGACCCTGCACTGAGTTGGAATTTTTCCCTGAACAGAATGTTTTAGAAAATTTCATCTTGCTACTCCACAAATAACATATTAGTCTGTTTGGAACCATTATGCAACCTTACTAACATGTCATAGTATGAAATTATGTGATTCCTTCAGATGTGTTTGTACAATATGTAATTTACAGTGGCATGTCTGAAGAGGCCATCTTAATCTGTACAAAATGGTTAGTCTGTACATACACCTCCATCCCTTTTATATATATGCTGTTTGTACATAGACTTTATTTGCTGGGGAATGAGATGTGTACAGTGTGTAGTGGTATTCATTCAGGCTTCTCCCATTCCTGACATTAATTTTAATATTCCTCCTACCATTCACAAATCTTTTTCAGCATCAGCATTGCATGGTTGTGCCATGGTTTGTCACTGACTTCTCACCACAGAGGCCTGGGTTCACTCCCAGAGCAGTCCATGTGGGGTTTGTGGTAGACGAAGTGGCACTGGAGTGGGATTTTCTTTGAGTCGTTTAGTCTTTCCCTGTCAGTATAATTCCACTGTGTAAGATTTGAGGTTTTCACAGCGGTGTTGCGCTGTGTAGTCTGGTCGATGTTAACCAACGTTTCAGAGGTCATACTGCCTCCATCATCAGGGCCCAACAACCCAGAAGACAGAAATCTTCAATTTCACTGTTGTTTCGTATTCACTAATGTATTATCTGGGGGTGAACAATGAGCCTGTTAATGGTTGCATCTCATTAGGAGACATAGGCTTACCCCATTGTACAATAAAAAATAACCAGTTCTTCATAAATGTATTGAAGTGTTTCGAAGTGCTCATGAGGAAGATAACTGAATGTTTTATTTCCTTAAGCTGTTGATTAGTATGAAAATATAACACATTAAAATTAATGTGTTTTGAAAGTGTGACTTTGTTCATAATAACAATTAATTACATTACGTGATAATAAGAATATTGTTTTAATGTTGTTCAGATGTTGTTGTGCAGATTGTTAAATATTTCAGGGAATAAGGCTGTATCTAAATCTATTGCTCCTTTAGTCTTAAAGTGGCATAGCTAAGTGTTCAGTTATGGGATATTTATGTATATACGTATTTTAAAAATGAATCTGTGGTTTTGTCTGTTCACAGAAAGTTCAGAGTATTAATTATTACAGTACATTTTTGTTTTTATATTTGCTTAGCTATGTGTTATGTCCTAGGATGACAGTTTTTATCCCTTCCTGAGACTACTGCTGCCACAACTAGACCGAGAACGTGGTGCATATGGCATAAAGGAACATAACTTGGCCAAGGTCTACATTCGTGTCCTTGGCCTCCCTAAGGAAGGACATGATGCATCAAAACTACTCAATTTTAGGTGGGATTACATTTTTAAAAAAATTGATGATAATGGTACTGTGTTAGTATATTAGTGTCTCAACAGATTTAATAGGTATGAAAGTTGTTAGTAGGCAATAGTCAGACTGCATGTCAAAAACCTATATGGTATAGTGTATGGCAGTGTATATTTGAGTTTAAGAAGTTGAATTTTACTGAAAGAGTATAATGAGAAACGTGGGCATGTAAGGAACAACAAATATTTTATTTAAAGTGCATTCTGAAGCAGCCACAACATAAAATAAATGTAATTTTGTTTTATGGTCCTTGTAGTCTTCAAATACATTCAGGTAGTTTCTTAGTTGCCAGACTCTGTTTTAAACATGAAAGAACAAGTTAATGTTAGCAATTTGTATTGGAAATATTTTAATGAATACACATTTCATGTCTTATAAATACCTGTTAAGCTGCTCTTGATTTTGTGTTTGAAATTCCTGTCTGAGCCACTAAAAATTTCTTTATGTAAGTGGACTTGTGCACTATGTACAAGTGAATTAATATTTGAAGTAATTGGATTCGTGTTTCTTATTAGGACTCCTAAAACTGCAGGCAGCGGTGCAGGTGACTTTGCGGAAGTGGCTTTCTGGGTTCTGAAGAGTCGTTGTCCTGAAGGAGGAAATCTAAGTGTGGAACAAATAAATGTTCATCTTGATAACATAGCACTGAAGCATGCAGCTCATGACCCAAGTAAGATTCGTATTTTCATGAAAAATTATGCAAACTGTCTCCAGCTGTGAAGATGACTGTCTTCTGGGATATTGCACCATGTAGTCTGGTAGAAGTTTCAGAGTTCCTTACTCATTGCTCTGATGATGAAGGCAGCACACACCTCTGAAATACTGGTAAACATCTACCAGACTACATGGTGCAATAACCCAGAAGACAGTAATCTTCATATTTGCTGCCTGGAAAATCTCACAATCTCCAGCTAAAGTAATTGCAGGGGTAGTGTGAAATGATGACTAATAAAATTCAATGGAGTGAGACTGTAGTTGGTGACAGAACTGAGCATTCAGCACATACCTGCCTTTCAGATTTCCTACTGAATGATGATAGCAGCCCCATGAGGTGTTCTGTCCATAATTTGGTTTTGTTTATATTGTGTTCAGATGAAGTCTAAATTAATTTACACTTTACTTTGCCAAACAAGTAAAATCTAGGGATTGTCCAGGAATTTTTACTGATTAGTATGCTATTTTTTTTTGGTTTTAGTTTTCTTTCTTTTTAACTATGTCTCACATATTTACAATATCTTCCTCCTGTAAATGGTTCTTGTATCAATATCCAATAGATATTTATTTGTGTTGATAAGTATCAAGGTTTTTGGGTGTTTTTCACATTCTAGTGTGAGTGAAGAACACCTTAAAGGCCTGTCCATTTAATTCTGTCTGCAATTTTCCATAGAGTAGGAAATCTGCATGACCAAGGGCTATTTCTGTGCAGCAGTTGGACCCGATTTCCCCCTTGTTGAAACAGATGTCCTTGTATCACATTAGTGCATCAGTGACCTAAGGGCATAGTTTCACAACAGTGATCTTAGGTCATTGTTTCACAGATGTGACGTGAAGAATGCCTTTGGAAGTCAATGTGCTTCAAAGAGGTAGACCTTCTCGTTATTGTTAGGTATTCTTCATACTCTTGTTTGAGCGAAGAATGTCTTATGAGCTCATCCATGTCTGTCTGCTGGTTGAATTTTTTTTCTAGGAGGTATGCAACTCACGTGACTAGGGTCATTGTCTTGACATTGTGCAACACTGACATTGGACCATGTTAGTGTAATAATATATTTCATGCACTGGTTATTATTGGAATATATTGTTGCACGCACTTAGACCATATTATTTCAACATTAAGTAATGGGCACTGTTGGAACATACTGTTGCTTAATGGTGACCTCAGAAGATATCACTGTGACATTGACCTATGTGATGTGGCATGAAGAACACTGTTTGGAATGTCTCTGTCCTCCAAACAGTATACCTTTTTAATCTTGTTTCTTCAGGGATAAAGTAAGTCTGAGTCTTGAATGTGTGATTCCAACTGCTTGCTCTTAGGGATGTGATTAAGAGTATGTGAAGGTGTGATTTTGCACTGTGTATTGTACCTTCTTAGTTTTGTATTAAAACTTATGTAGATTTATGTATGAGGTGGTATTAAAAAGCTATGAGAGTGTATTCATAAACTAAGATTTATTTGTAAGATTTGAGGTTTTCACAGAGGTGAGTATGAAGATTTTTGTCTTCTGGGTTGTTGTGCTGTGTAGTCTGGTTGATGTTTACCAACGTTTCAGAGGTCATACTGCCTCCGTCATCATCGCCCTGATGACGGAGGCAGTATGACCTCTAAAACGTTGG